ATGTAGGATTTGACGCATCAATTTATTTTAAAAACATTGTGGGCAGTTCTGCTAGAATCATTTGAAGGCCGGAGGCCCTTTATGTAAATTGCATGAGATTATATTGTGCGTGCTGCCGGTTGGGTTATAAAATGTGTTTTATGCAGGTGGAAATTTTGGGAAATGTTCAATTTACAGGGGAGACTCTGCCGAAATTTCGGCAGAAAGTCTCGTGCCCTTAATCCTCTCTGGTAAACGAGGACGTAGATTTAAAGAGTGAACCCGGCATGGGCGTGATGCCGGGGTCTCCGCAGGGTTCGTCTCGGGTTCCGGGAAATTCGGGACGGGGCCTGTCATATTAAAACCTTTTGCACAAGCCTTTCATTAGACAATACCTCACCAAACGTCTTCATTTGGTTAATCAGTTCATTCAACCGTGTAAGATACCCAGATAACGTTTCATCATCACGCATTCTAGTATACTCGAATTCACGTCGAAGATTTTGGAGTTTAACTGATCGTACCTGATCACCACCGTGATATTCACCATATAGCAGATCCCATGCCATCTTCGCTGTATCAGCATTGGCAATTCGAGGGAATATTTGATCTGAGACTGCATTCTGGATAATACCCAGAGCTTTCGCATCTCGCATATATTCTGCCACAGTTTTCCCATCGTCTTCCTCTTATGCGCTTCCTTCAGCCATCTTCTTCTTTGAATCAGAGATCGTAACCCCCTTTTCAACTAATTTCCATAACCCATGAGATTTAAAGGTTGTCACCATCTTGATTCTCCAGAACTCGTAGTTCTCACCGGAGAAGATCGGAGTTCTCACCTCAGAACTTCCAGATCCAGCCATCTTTTAGCTTAGATGATACGAATCTCAAATCAAAATCAAAATCGAAATTGATGGGGTTTAGCGATTTCACTTGAACCAGAACGAGCTCGAGTGCAACTCGATTGCAGCAACGTCGCACAGTCTACGCCCAGATTTCAGATCGAACCTGGCTCTGAGGCCATGTTAGTGTTTGAATGTTTAGCTAGGTTTCTATGGAAGATTAGATTAGAGGAAGAAATTGAGAGAATAGAGAAAGATTCAAAACTGCAGAAAAATGCTCTGCTCACTCTCAAAGTCTGAGAGTGAGTGTATATTCAGTATCTATCAAACACGCACACAAGGCATGAGTACATAACCGTTAGCCTTAGCTGGATGCACACAATCAACAATACAATCTCAGCCTTACACTTGTCATAATCTAAGACTAAGTGAATACACAATTAAAATAAGGCTTATTTACTTTAACTTTACTTAGCTCACAGCTTATACACTAATAACTGCCACGTAATATTACTAATCCGGCCGATAGTTTATATATTACAGCAATTCATCAAAAAATTATCATGCACTTCTCAAAGTGCAATTTCCCTCTTGTGAGTATGTAATGACTTTGTTGGAGCATCAAACAACTCCCAAATATACTAAAATTAATTTATCTGAAAGTAAATATGCATTTACATAATGCGATAATCACATTATTCATCACATCACATCACATTTTCACATTTTCACATGAGCCACTCCTATGTGGTACAAACATTTTTATTTCTAAGACCTTGATCACTAAGCTTATTCACACAACATAGCTTTCCCATATAGTGCATATAAAGTAAAACTTCAAATTTTGGCAAACTCAATCGTACTCTTCCCATCATGAGCCTTGCGGAAGAAATGCTTGACATAATCAGAATACAGAACTTGCTTATACACTGCTTTCTCCCCACTTGCAAGCACTTCCGGCAGTGGAGATATCAAATCCAACGGCCTCGGGTTGACAAATATGGGGACTGAAATCCTGTTCTTAATTCCATTCGCAGCCACTCGATGCTCGATGCTCTTGTATCGTCCGTTGCTCATGATTTGAAGTGCATCACCAATGTTGATCACCAACGACCCCTTCACCGGAGGGACATGAATCCAACTCTTCTTGTCGGTGCCCCCGCGCACGTAAAGCCCGCCAATCTGGTCTTGAAGGAGGACGGTGAGTGTTGAGACGTCGGAGTGGCGGCCAACTCCAACTGTGAGCTCAGGGTTTGGGCAAATGGGGTAGTAGTTGAGGTTAATCCGCATGGATCCCATTAGAAGACCTTCTTTTTCTTGGTCTATTTCTTTCACATTTAGTCTCTTCATTAACATCTCTAGGAGTCGTTTTATGAGAATTTCGGATTTCTTCCTGTATTCAAGCACTTCATCCCTGCAAACATATATATACATGCATATAATTATTAGTCAATACAAATTAATGTGCAATATTAATGTGCTACAAATAGTTTTTATTATGTATATACAGAGTAGACATTAATAGTAAGTGAAGCTTACTTGCAGGCAGGAGGCCAAAGTGCAGAGGCCTCATCCTCAGAAACATAGAAGAGACTAAGGTAATCTTTCCACTCCAAAGCCTTCTCTGCTTGAGGGCTAAAGCTCGTCCCAAACCGGACGTTGTTCGAACACGAACGCTCTTTCGAATTCTTACTCTTCTCCTCAGCTGGCAACTCAAAGAAGCGATGAGTTGCCTCCTTCACATTCTCAAGCACTTCAATGGGCACCCCATGGTTGACAAGTTGAAAAAATCCCCACTTCTCTGCTGCACTGCAAATAGCTTCTGCAACTTTCGGGTCGTCCCAGTTTGACATGTCGATGATGGGAACAGACTCTTCGGAGTTTTTGATCCCAAAACTCGCAGTGCTAATTCTCTCTTCAAGGGGCTGGATATATTGCTTTGGAAGGCTTTTGAGACCCATTTCTGAAAGTCCCTTAACTCCATTGCCTTTGTTTATAACAAAGTTGGTGATGCCTGAAGGACTGGTCATGGTTGGAGCCATTTTTTCTCTTGTATATGATTTTGCGATTGGCCTCTAAATAGTCTAATGGAGGTTGAGGAAAAGGTTGAAGAAGATTCTGTGATCTAGTAAAGTGGCAACAGAGCTTATTTATACGTGAGTTGTGTTATTAACTATTTAATTAACAATTAATCACCAACTCGGGTAGCAATTAGCATGCTTTTTAGGGTTTGGGACTGGATGTCAGTACATGAATGCATCATTCAGTGGGCCACATTGATGAAATCTGAGCTTCGGGGTGTTTTGGGGGGTGGTGTGTTATGGAGAAGTTATTCCTAGGTTTAGGGGTAGGTGATCGCGGGTGCTTCATGTTATCGTATATACAAATACTATACTTTATTTATTAAAATTGCGTCACATAAGATTTTCATGTCCTGCATTTATTTTGTCTTGTCAAACCTCTACATGATGTGACGTGCATCACTAATCAAACACAACACCTAAGTTTATGAGATTATCAAAACGAAAGGCATTAATGAAATTTTGGGATTAAATTCTAGCAAGGAATGCGTTAGTACGAAAATTGTATTTGCATTTCTAGACTTTAATATAGGTTGAAAATTAGTATGTAAAGAATTGTTACTGGACGTTTTGGCACAACTTATTCAGTCATATACTTCCGAGGCATGACTTGACCGATATGAAAAACTTGACTTCAGGTAATAATCATAACATAATCATGCATTCACAATAAGATTTATAGGTGAAGTTATTTTCAATGCCATTGTGATTTAAGTTAAAAGGTTAGCGTTTCCTATAGTGACATGCACCATGCTCATCTCCTAATTAACTTGTTTTAGGAGATGAATGTTTCTTCATAAAAGTGGATATTACATGTATGTCATCACTTAAGAGTTCATATTGAATCACAATTCATATTCATCTAGATAATAGGTTATCTTCTGTTTGTTGTCTTAATAAAGAGACCATATTGCTTCAGGATTGGTAGTGATAGTTGAATAGGTTTGTGAGTCATTGTTGAATAGAAATTGTGGTCCCATGAGTTTCTCTCTAGTAAGAGAACCTGCCTTGCATAAAATGTTTGGTTTTCCTTTATTCTAAGGCATGGCTTTTAACATATTTTGTTTATGAGCATATTGAATTTTTCAAGAGAAATTTAATTTGAAGATATATTTGTTATTCTCTGGGCGTGGTGTTCTCTGGGTTTGGTTTGATCTTGTTCTTGTTTTTACTTTTTTCAATTTTTTGTTATTTATTTTTTAAGATATATTTGTTATTGTTCTTTTTTTTTCTTTTTTTTTAATTTTTGGGTCGTTGGGAGGTTGCAATGGGGTGGAATTGGTTTTGGCTGAGTTTTTTTTTTTTTTTTTGGTCAATTTCAAGATTTTATTTTTAAAATGAATGAATTTTTAAATAATTTATAGACCGAATTACCCCTTCAACTAACAAAAGTTTAAAAAATATTGACAGAAATTAAGTTTTTTAAAAGACAATTTTTTATTTTTTATTTTTTATTTTCACACATGGCACTTAGTTTAGCAAAATAATGGGTCCTATTGGTGCCACATCAGCATTTTTAACGGAATTTTTAACAGAATTGACGGTGATAGGCAAAGTTAGACACAAAACATCGGTCAATTGGGCAAAATGAGTCACTTTAACTTTGAGGGGGTTGAATGGGAATTGACCAATATTTCAAGGGGCATTGTAGCACTTAAGCCTTTAATGTATGATGAATTGTCCTCCTACATAATTACACATATTTTTAGTGGAGATTATTATATCTATTTTCAAGTTTAGTTTAAGAAAATATATATTTCAAAAGTACACAAATGCATTGTATTTTTGTATATGGATTAAGATTTGGGAAGTTTTGTTTTTAGCTTTCTGTTACCTAAATAAGTTCTTAGTTGTACATTAATTAAATTTAGTATAATAATCCAATCGATCAACAAAATGGATGAGTATTGAGACTTCAAAAGCCCTGCAAATTTGGTATTTTGCCCTTCATCTTGATGATATTGTACTGAAAGACCAAACCGCTGGGCCAATGCATGGGCTTTCAAGGTATTCTTCGGGCTGAATTTGACCCTCACTTGGCCCAAAGTGTATTTAGAACCCCATTCCCTTAAACTTGCTTGCCACCGTCATCCAAAAACTACAAGTGAAGATATATCCATCCATCTCCTTTTACATTTTTTTGCCCCGAAGTTAGCAAGGAGAGTGGGGTTTTCTCACACACAATAGAAAGGTGCTATAAGAAGTTTGAATTTGAGAACACTGATATGCAAGTCAATACCTTTTTTTACTGAGTTAGACCAAAAGTTTATGAATAATAAAGAGAAGTAAAACAAAAACATTATTTACACACGAATGAAAATTTTGGTGCGGCCTTGTGCGGTTGCACATATCTTATGAATAGGGTCGCTGATGGATAAGGTGAGCAGAGGCAGCCCATGGGGTGTGCGAGGTGTGCGACCGTACAGAGCCCCTAAAATTTAGGGGCCTCCAAATTTTTCCAAGTCAGCCCATTAAATTAACTAAAACATGAACATAAAAATGAAATATTAAATATCACCCCACTACACCATATGCAAGGCACAAAAACCAAAATTGAATTGAATATTAATTATCAACAAATTCTACGACTTAGAGAGTAGAGGCCCTAATTTAATTCATTTTCCTCTTCCCAACTCTCACACTGCAACTCTTTTTTTTATTATTATTATTATGGTTTGAAACCTGTGTTTTCCTCTTCCTAACTCTCAAGCTGCAAAACCATTCTAATATTCT